TTTATATTAATTATATCTAGTCCTCTATACTTAAAGGGGCATCCAAAGAAATACTGTTCATGCTACAGTAAATACTATAGATTGAATAGTACAATATTTATAAACAGTAAAGCAAATCAAATGTATTATAAACAGTACAATATTTATAAACAGTAAATACTATAGATTGAATAGTACAATATTATTTTTCCATACTTGAAGTTACTATTTATACTACAATATTTGTTGTATCATAAACAGTAAAGCAAATCAAATGTATTAAAAACATGGATCCTTTTTTAAGTATAGAGAAGTAGATATGATTTCTAAATCAAATGTATTAAAACTTGGATCATTCTTTAAGTATAAAGGAATAGATATTAATACTTCTAATTTTAAGCATATAATAATTAAATCAAATGTATTAAAACTTAGAGGGAGGTATTATGGTATTTTCAGTCACCAAAGTACGGCCATTTGCCAACAACAGATAAGTATCCCCCTATGTGCACCGCTCAAATCGAATTGACAGTTAGGACCACCAAGAATCCCAACATTAGCCGACTCGCCGAGTCGACATTTCCTTAGATCGACTCGAAGGGTGGTACTTGCCGGCCCTCTTGTCGAAGACGACTCGCTACGAGCCCACTCGACCAGTTGTTCGACACCTTCCGGGGTCGACTCGAAAGGCATTACTTCTCGACCAAGCTAAAGGATAACTTCAACCTCGAGCCTCTCCCGCTGACAGCGCGTCAACATCATATTAAATGCTTGGCAGGCGCCATCATTCCTCTAGCCCCGATAGTCTTCATGGCACATCGGACCACGTCGACACCGCCATATGCCCCCAATCACTTCGTATTAAATATCAAGGTGACCTCCCCTCCACTCGTTGGCCGACACATGTAAAGTAGGTACTGACGTAGCCGTCAGGCCATACTCGTTTGTCGTCATCCTGTACTCAGCTGAGATTACCATTCTACCATTTTTCCATCACTATAAATAGAGGTATTATTTCAAATACCAAAGTAAGCAATCTCTGGTAATTCCATTACACTACACTTTAGAACTCACACAGTTATTCATTTTTCCATTCAAGTCCATCAACTAACTTGATTGTCAGAGGAACAACGGGGGAACTAGTCTCATTCCTCTCACGATTTGCTATTTGTGCATACTGAAGCTACTCAACTCAATATCAGATGTTCGGAAAAGTTAGTGCCCCCTAATCAACCTCACCACCATTATATTATCTGTTTGATTTTTAACATCAACAGGAGGCAAGTTTAAAATGTAGTGCTTAAAAAAATAGGCGGTCGCGTTTTGCACGGGAGTGCACACTAGTGCTTTGTAACGTGTCAAGCTAAACTCAACAATGCTAGTTGATGACTAAGTGAGAAAAGAGGTGAGGGTGGGGTCGAGAAATTGGTCATATTCTTCATAGTTTGGGGGAAGTTCTTTTTTAAGTTAACCCTTGTTAATTTGTGATATAAAAAATAAGGCAACACCTCTTTATAGGTTTTCATGAAAGCCACGTTTAGAAAAAGTGGATTCTTTCATCAATGAAAGCATTCATTCTTCATCTGACTGGTTGGTGGAGAATGAGATTTGGTATCAACTCTTAGTTTTCACTTCATTTATTATTGTCTCCTTAGTCTTCAAGACTTTTCTGATAGAAAATTTTCTCAATGACCTAAAATATGAGACTAATAGGGGGGACAGGTAAGGTGTCCCCCTTCTATTGGATAATGAGTTGGTCATTATTTGATAACCAACTTATTATCCAATAAGAGGAGAACACATCACCTGTCCCCCCCTATTGGTCTCATATTTTGGGTCCCTGTAGCAAAGCTCTTTCTGATAAAATGTTTTAGGATGTTTTTTTAGACAAATGTATATAAATTTATCATCTGGTTTATTGCTCATTTTGATTGACATTACATTCTTGGCAAAACAAGTTATATCACAACTAATCATAATATTTCGAATTATTGAAGAAGTTAGTAATACACATCCGTGTTGTTTGTCTTCGACTCCATAAATTTTCCTTTGAAGGTTTTTCTAATTAAGAAAAAAATATGTACTTAATTGGGAATATGAATGCAAAAAGATATGGATATTCTTGAATTCATTTGCATGTGAACGCTGTAAAAATAAGGTGCACGGGTATTACAATTTTATGTTCACAGAATATAGTTAAGAATGTTATATCTTTTCTTAAGTTTTAATGGAATACAGATAAGAATACATGCATTAAGTAAATACATGCATACATATTCAGATATATGTATCGATTGATCAATTGAAATTAGTCCGGGTTTAGATTATTTCATTTAAGTCCAACTTAGGAGAAAGTAGTAGACGAACTTCGTCCATGATATTAAATGGACATCAAAGAGATACCATCCCTAAAAATTTTGTACAGATTCTAAAATTCAATAATCTAAGAGTTGATATCTATTTGGCGCATAACTAATGCATGAACCGAATCTGAGGCTTTAGGAATTTTATTTATTCATTTTATGGTGCATGGTTAACAAGGGACTATTTACTCAACTTAATACGTTTACTTACTTGAATTAAAACATACTTAAAAAGGAAATCATATCAATTCAAACTTATAGAGAATTTTTATATACTAGCATATTGACACCTGCATAATGCAAGCGAATAATAAGAATTTATATTAAAAAAAAAGTATGTATAATTTTCATGCATCTAAAGAATTTGTTATTTTCACTTTAATAAGAAGGATGGAAGTGTGCTTAAAATTCATATAATAGTTTTATTGATCATTAGTTGAAAAAATATACATTCTATTTTTTTTTCTTTTTTTTCTAAAATTTTTAGTTTCTCGTTGTAACATGAGGATAAACTATCTAGATTACATTGTGCTGCATTATCATCATTTTTTCAATCATATGATTTAAAGAGGTAATGCATGAAATTTTCATTTTGAGAGGGAGATGGAAGAATTAAAATAACGAAATCTTCTAGAGAGGAGATAGAAGAGAGATTGAACCCACATTATTAAATGATGTTATCAATTGATCAAGTTATCCTTATCTTTTTCTAAAATGACTCTCTATTGTTTAACAAATTGAAAGCATAATGATCTATTCCTTTGTACTTGTCCTCACAATGATTTTTATATGAAAAATGCCTAAGGGCCTCAAAATAACGGACCATGCATAATACACGTGAAGTGTCGTCTTCCTGTCCCGTGATGCATTGTTTATTTTAGGTCCCTGTAACAACACTTTTTTTATATATATTTTGTTTGTTCTCATAATGTCTTTTATATAGTAGCATAAATATAGATACTTCGTCTAAAAAAATGTTAGAAATCGAAAGTAAAACATTATTTCTCACAATTTTCCACGAAGTAAAATATAAAATGGGCTAATACTGTGAAAATAATAAGAGGAATTTTCCTGGTGCTTGGTTTATCCATCATTGACAGCTAATCTCAGAGGTCCAGAGAATCTGAATGCACAAAAGATATAACTTTTTTTATATATAATTTTATTTTTCTACTGTAGCGCCGCTCTCACGCTCCCCAAACCAACATAAATCTTCTGTTCTCTTTTCTCTCAAAACCCAAGAGAGAGAAAGATAAAGATTGGGGAGAGAGAGACAAGAAAGTGGACCATTACCCCTTTTCTCCCTCACTCTTGAAGGAGAACAGAAAAGAAAGAGGTTTTAAAGAGAATGGAGAAGGCATTGGTAAAGCTCAGCAGCTTTACCATATCCAGGAAAGCCAAAGAAGAGATCTCCTCCATTGGCGAAGATCTCTCTGTAAGTCTCTGCCTTCTCCTTTCTCTTGGGCTTCGACCCATTTGCTGTCACGTGATTGATTTTATTTGCAATGTGTGTAGATTTATCCTAAACCCATTTGTTTATGGGTCGAATTAGGGAGGAAACATTGATGGGTTTTGATGGAAATGAGCAAATGGGAAGAAAGATTAATGGGTTTGATTAGTGTTTTTCTATGGTCCAGATCCATGCGTAATATCTTCAGTTTCTTGCTTTTAGTGATGATCGTAGCTACTTGTGGTCTGATTTACTTTTCGTCTTAAATACTTGTAGATTTACCCTTCCATTTATTTTGTCATATTTGCAAGTCTATCTCAAATTCCATTTATTTTATTTATTTACTAGTTTTAAATTCATGGTTATTTTTATTTTGGTAAATAAGACCAGAAAAGTAATACTTAGAGCAGTGATGAGTAGCACTGGCACATTACTCTTTTTTCCACTGGATGTTCCTTAGTTTCATGATTTTACGGATGTGAAATACTGTGTGGTTGCAAATGAATATAGTCTCAGTTGTTGTTAGTTTGAGATGTTTAATTTCATCGAAAAGTCTGCTCATGATGTTGCAGAGGTTCTCAAATACTGTGGAGGAGAAGGCGAAATGGATATTTGATAAGCTGAAAGGTTTGAGCTGGAACTTTGTATTTATTTGAATTCTAATAAAATTTTCACTTTTTTGTGATTGTTACTGACTTGTTTTGTATGTCGGCATTTATTAGAAATTTGGAGTGTTAGTACTCTAGGAACCTTTTCTTTTGTTCTTTCTAAGGACCCTCTTTTTTCAATCATCTTGCGGTTGTAGAGGTAGTCTATTGCGGTTATTGTTTTCATGTTTCTCTTCTAAAGAAAAAGTAATATAACATGAATGAGGAGAGTCATTGCCATGAAATAATTAAACTACTTAAACTGTGCTTTAGGTGCAAGTAAGACGTACAATCATCTACCCACTTTATTAACTTGAAATGCTAATTAATAATAACTCTTCAAGTCTCAATTTCTCCCAATGCTCTCACGAACAATGCCCCTCTATATTTCAAACAGGGCACAAGACATTTTGCTGGGAGAAATCAGATCCAACAAGGAGTTAATGGGCCTTATATACAGGCTAAGAATAAAATCACCATATTGCATTCCAAAGTCCATTCAATCCACTCAATAATACCTTTATTCTCTCCAGTATTTGAGTATACTTATTTCTCCATCATTATTACAATAAATGTGAGAACTAACATTAATAATTAAACATAATATTATTAATTTTTATCATATTAGTTTTCATTAAATAAGATAAATAGTTTGTCATAGTTATTACTTATTACAATATAATATACCAAATATACCCATAAGTCTTTTCTTTTCTTAAAAAAAAGAAGTCTCTTCATCACTTCGAATTTTATTTCATTTTTGAAGGAATATATGTTTCTGAGTAAAACGTGTTTTGATGTCGTGTTGCATAATACCTATAAATGGATGTGTAGAATCATACTTATGCTAAAGGTATTGCTAGCTTACAAGAACAACAAAATTTATATGGTTATAATGGTCCCAAGTAGTGGTGGGTGGCGAGGATAATTACAATGTCAATTCTCTTAAACTCTCTACAACTTCACAAGCTTTTCAATTCACACACAACTTTTCACATTCCATTTCTTAATTGTCACTAGTTGTCACTAACATAAACATAGATAAAAACGTTGCACTTATTCATGTCTCTTTTACCATCATAAATTAGTACCAAACTTTACCAAGTATTACAATCCTATCTCATCCTCTCATTCCTCCTAGCCTCCTATTCTTGGCCCTGAGCAATTCAATACTATAAGTTGGTTACATGCTGACGACGTGGCCTAATCCCAGGAATCCCTAATGGAGCTCACATCATGCGGCAAGGTTGTCCTCTTTTCACTTAGCGGGTAGACTTATCTCGGCCAAAGTTGTTCTCGAGCTGTTCACTGAAACAATCTAGGGAATAGAAGAAAATGACAACTACTTTGAAGAATACATTCAATGGAAATGAGTTATATCCTCAATTTTATTCATTTTTTCTTTGAGATCTTTCTACAACATTTTGTTATAAAAGAGTTCATTTCCAACTCTTGATTTTCTATGTGCATTAATATAAATATTCAAGTTTGTCCACGCACAACGCACGTGCATTAGACTACTTAACCCAAAAACATAAAGCTATTAGGAATTAGCCCAAATTTCTCTTCTTTCTTAACTTTCCAGTGTGGGACTATACTCGCATATGTACTTTTCAACAATCTCCTTCACTTGTGAGCATAAAAATTGTCAAGAAAAAGTGGTGGACTTAAATATAAAGTTGGGTCAATTCTTAAAGCTTATGTTTTCGGATTAATTTGGTTCCTGACATCTATTTAAGACACACAAACTTTTAATTGGGCTCAATTTCTCCTCAACAAGTGGAATCAGAGCATTGTAGATTCCCTAGCTCAATAACTCCTAAATTTCATCTCAATCGGATATTGTTATCCCCTCAATGAAGGATACATTTTTCTATACATGAAGTTTTCACTGCTCACTGCTCACTAAACCCTTTTCTCGTTAATTTTCTCTTTTGACTTTTGTCTGTCTTTCAACAGCCATAAGCCCTTTGGATAAGCACCTCCTTGTATATTTCCATTGAACAACTAATTACATAATTTGCTCTTTGACAATTTCCAAGAGCTTACAACCCTTCAAATTTTCTGTACATGCATTAATGTTGACCAGATTTTACAACTTCCACAGTCAACAACTTTTATTGTTTCTCAATCTTAACCTTTGGATCTCATTTGGAGGGATCATGAAATGAAGAACTCCAATTATCATCTCAAGCTGGGCATATTGTATCACTGGATCCAAGGATTGCTGGAGTGCAAGATAATGCATCTTGAGAAGATCCCTATTGATGACAAGAAATTGGATATAATGACTAAATCTCTTTTTATGGTGAAGCTTGGGGACTTGTCAAGAGACAGTAGAATAAATAGCATTTTCCACCCAAATCGAGATTGGGAGATTTGTTGGGTGGTCCCTCCTAGTGGAATCCAAAGATTGAGAAACAATAAACGTTGTTCAATGTTCACTATTAAAGTTGGAACAAGTTGGAACAACTAGTCAACATTGGAGAATTGTTGTTTGTTGAATATTAGTAAACCCTTAGTACTATCTAGAGAAGACTTGTTTTAATCCCATTATTTAGAGATGGTGGAAGGTTTGATCTGGACTAGGTCCCGTGGTTTTCCTCTTAGTGGGTCTTCTATGTAAAAATGACCCTATTTACTTCTACTAGTTCTAGATTGCGCAATTTACCATACACAAAGAAGAGAACCTTAAAATTTCACAAGTTAATAGGATTTTCCCAACACATTGTACTATAAATCCTTGCTAGTAGGATTTAGTGCTAAATGAAAAATCCTCCAAAAAATAGTCAGATAGTGGCACCAAACCCACTGCACCAAAACTTGGAAGGTGTGTTGGGGTTTGAGGGTTATAATTTTTGCTCTAACATGAGCAATGAAACATTTTGTATGAGTAAAGACGCTACTTGCAAAAACTTCATCTGATATTTATGTCACATTTAGTCAAAGATATAATGGATAACAAAGTAATTCCATGTCTCATAACTGCATTATATTTCTGGAATTTGTCCCGTCACCTATGTAAAGGAATACTCTTAAAATTAAGCTTTAGGAAAAAAGTGCTGTGTTAGGATTGACATAGATGTAACAACACCAATTGTATACTAAAGATTAAAGTACTCTCGCGAGCAAGCCTTAACATGTTTTCTTGTTTTACTGTGATCATTTATTCCTTAAACTCTGATTAACACCTTAGGAGCAGGGTCTACCTTTACTGTGATCATTTATCTCTACTGTACTGTATTTCCGGAAGTACCGCCAAGTTATAGGGATTAGAATATACTGTTTGATACTCTGTGTAAGATTGGTTCAACCATCTCACAGCATTTTAGTTGTTGTGGTGAATGTTTAGATGGTGCAGATCAGGAGTATCACATGCAGCCTCTTTGATATTATCTTTGTAGGAAAGAATACTCTTCAAGTTCATACCAAGTTGTTGGTATGACTCTGACCTATCCACTTTGAAACTCATACAAAAGAATACAGATGTAATTTATATGGTTAATTATAGTAGACCTCCTGTACTATCGCCAATTGAACTTAACAGTCCTTAAGTTCTATTGTTGCAGGTCCCCGCTGAGTGAATTATTTTGGACCTTTTCAGGGGGTCTATTGGTAACTGTAGATTTTTAGTCAGGGGTCTATATGCAAGATTAGAACTCTTTCAAGGAATCCATCTGCAATAATAGAAGCACAGTGGTAGTAAGTTCTATTTGGCCATAATAAGGGGGTCTATCTGCAACTAACCCTATTTTATGAAAATGGTATATAAGCGCAGTCATATCATCTCCAGCCTGTAAGTCTTTGGGGCTAGTAATCTTAAGCAACCTATTAACGGTGGGTCTGCATACAAGCTTGTCATTTCTTACACACAGACTGGACTTAAAGGTTCGATGTCACTCTAATACTACAATAGTCCCATAATGTGTTAAAATTGTTGTAATAAAATTAATTTTTCATGTAATCTAAAATTAATTTTTCATGTTATCTCTTTTCAATAGAGAAAAAACTCATGACTATAAAATGCTGACAATTGATATGTATAAATCTCAGGCAAACCCTCGAAATCCCTACCAGACCTTCTCCGAGAACACGGACTCCCTGCAGGCCTCTTCCCGCGAAACATCATCTGCTATGAATTCGACGAACTCAAGGGAAAGCTGGTTGTCCACCTGCCATCAACCTGTGAGGTCGGATTCAAGGATTCTTCTGTGTTAAATTATGCAACCCGAGTCAAATGTATCTTATCAAGAGGCAAGCTCACAGGGATAGAAGGCATGAAGACCAAAGTTCTGGTCTGGGTCAGAGTCACTCAAGTGGGACTGGAGAGCTACAAGTCTGATAAAGTTTGCTTTACTGCGGCTGGAGTGAAGAAGCTGAGGCCTAGAGATGCTTATGAGATGCCTCGAGATTCTGTGTATGCTCTCTTTTATTAGTCGTAATGTACTTCGGAGAAATCATGATTTTCTCCAAAAATGCGCTGCTCTGCGTAAGATCGAATGTTGTATCCATGACCTTTATCCTCTTTGAAAGGAGTTCGAGACTCTATGTGCAAGAGGCTGTTCGAGCTTATGTTATGTTGTTGGTGGTGGGTTTGTGTCTTTGGTAAGTAGCTAGGAGGTGGTGAATAATCATACTGGGGGGCCGGAATGTGACCTCCATATCGGTTTCGAATCGGATGAGTTCATGATCAGTTGAGAATGCTATGTATACCAAAATGTTGCAAGTATCTGCAATGGTGAGCCGGGTTTGGTCTCAGGGGGGTCTCGTTTGACATTCCTAAAGAACTTAACTAAATGATCCCCTGTTGAGTCCTAATTTGAGAAGGGGGGAAAAACTCTTTTGATCCCCATGTTTTTTAGTCTTTGATCCCCACTTTACATAGGTTGTTACCAATATAGTGCTTATGATAAATGAAATATACTAATCCGATAACCCTCTGTTTTTTTATTATTATAAAAATGATAGGAATCAGAATTATATACGGTGACAGACGGCGTCTGTCTACGGGGAATTAACGGGTGGCAGAAATGTAATTAACAAGCTACAAAAAAAATCATTTAATTACACCGCGTGCGGCCCCACTACAAATAGTAACCCCCCCAGCTGCTCACGGCGTGCGCGAGTGAGAGTAGTGCCAAAAATACCAGGAGCAAAAAGAGAGAGAGCTGCCATCAACCCCTTTCCTTCTTCTTCTTTTTTTCCTCCTCCTGGCAAAAATGGAAAAGGGAGCGGCCCGAACCCTAATCCTGCTGCTGCAGGTGCTAATGTGCGCCGTGGCGCTGGTCTCTGGAGAGAAGAAGCAGCACGTCGTTGGAGGGAGGAAGCACGGCAATGGGTGGGCCCCCAACATCAACTACACCACCTGGGCCGCCGGCGAGCGCTTCTACGTCGGGGACTGGCTCAGTGTGATACCTTCTCCTTTTCTTTTTCTTTTTTTTTTTCTTTTTTCCTCTCTGTCTTAATTCCATTAATTTGTTTGAGATCACGCGTGAATTAACGTATTGTTCTAACTTATTCTTCCCTTCTTTTTTTAAGGGGAGAAACATTTAATTTGATGTAATTTAAGGATATTTGGAAGGGACCAAGAAAAAATGAAAAAAAGAAACTCCCTATTTATGTCAGACTAGAATTGTTTAGTTAGTGTTACGTTTAGTTAGTATTAATTTGTTACTTTATGGATGCTATTTAGAGGAACAAATTCAATAGTTTAGACTAAATAATCCAGGGGAAGAGAAGACAAATTTAATAGTTTTAATTAGGAGACTTTTAAGTAAGGACTAGAGCCGTAAACAAATAAACTAACCTATTGCCAAATTAAATCCTGACGATGGATGAAAACTAACTAAAATTAATAGCAGAAACTAGGCTTCGTTTGGATATCATGGTGTTTTTCTTGTTGTGTTTTTATATAAAAAAACACTATGATGCAGTGTTTTTTCCTTAAAATGTTTTCAAAATACAATGTTAAGTATTTTTTGTCAACACTAGTTTGACACATTATAACATTAGTATTAACCATATTATTAATATATTATATATTAATTATAATAAAATATATTATAAATAAAATGTTATAATATTTAGTTTACATTATTATAGTTTTATAAGTATTAAATATTATACAATATAATATTATATAATGCTAACATAATCATTAGATTGTACTTATAATGAGTTAATGTATATATATAATTATTTACATATTATTTTTTAATAATTATATATTTAATTATAGTATACCAATTTGTTATTGTTGCTATATTATATTAATATTTTTATAATAATTATTGATTTTATTATTAATATAATATTATATTGTTATTAAATAATATAATATTTAATACATATTATTCATTTAATTATAATATATATTAATAATGTATAATATTATTTCATATACTAGTATGTTATTAAACATATATAAAAATTTTTAATCATTATATAATTATATGGTATAGTTTTTAATTATGTTGAGTTATTAATATTACTTTAATAAATATTAATATTTCTTATTAATCAATATTCTATTTATGAATGATATTATTTTTACATTAACATTTTAGCAAATAATATATATTATTATTAAATTTAATTTTACTTTTATATAAATGTATATTGATTTATTAAATAATATATTATATTTTATATTATATTATAGTTATATTACAATATGTTATTTATAATATTATTACTATATTGTTATAGTTATTATTAAATATGTTACTATTATATAATACTTTATAATTATTAATTTATTACGGTTTATTTATTAAAAAGTTAATAATATTATAGCAATTATATTATTATATAGTATATTATTATATCATTATTATATCATTATTTATTCTCAAGAACTTTTTTATTAGATTATTTATATTTTATTATTATTTATTTATTATATAATACATTATTAACATATTAAATATTAGTATTTAATATACTATAGTATAGTATAATATAATAAGCATGTTGATAATAACTACATATTAATATATTATGTTAGATATTATATTAATACATTCTCAAACTCAAAACCAAAACACCAAACTTATAACACCTAAAATGTGTTTTGAAATAAGTGTTTTGTTTTTTGTTTGAAGATGATTTAGCTTAAAAAAATACCATGGTTTCCAAATGCACTGTGTTTTTTTTAGCAAAAACACAATGAAAACAAGTAAAACACATTGGTATCCAAACAAAGCCTAAAAATTAATTACATGCGGGGAGTGTTTTTTTTTTCCTATTATTAATGATTTCATCTCTTTTACCTCTTACTTATCATCATCATCATCATCTGACTCTTACATATCATTATCATCATCTGATTCTTATTACTTTCTTTTACCCCCACTTCGTTTTTTTTTTTCAGCATTTTTATATGAGAAGGGATACTACGACGTGGTGCAAGTGAACGAGACAGACTACGAGCGATGCTCAGCGGACCACCCTTTGGCAGAATTCGTTAATTAACAAGCCTGACAAAAAATCAAATTTAATTACCACCGCGTGCGGCCCCACTACAATAGTAACCCCCCCAGCTGCTCACGGCTCCGTTGCGCAGTGAGAGTAGTGCCAAAAATACCAGGAGCAAAAAAGAGAGAGAGCTAGCCATCAACCCTTTCCTTCTTCTTCTTTTTTTCCTCCTCGCTGGCAAAAATGGAAAAGGGAGCGGCCCGAACCCTAATCCTGCTGCTGCAGGTGCTAATGTGCCCGTGGCGCGAGTCTCTGGAGAGAGAACAGCCGCACGCGTTGGGAGCGGAGGAAGCACGCCAATGGCTGGGCCCCCAACATTCAACTACACCACCTGGGCCGCCGGCGTAGCGCTTCTACTCGGCGGGACGCCTGGCCTCAGGTGTGATACCTTCTCCTTTGTTCTTTTCTTTTTTTTACTTTCTTTTCCTCTCTGTCTTATATTCCATAATTTGTTTGAGATCACGCGTGAATGTAACGAATTGTTCTAACCTTATTCTTCCCTTTTTTTCTTAAGGGGAGAAACAATTTAATTTGATGTAATTTAAGGCATAACAGACTCCTAGAGATCTCATTGTCTGAATTATATATATATATTATATATTATATATATATATTATATATATATATATATATATATATATATATATATTATATACTATATATATATTATATATATATATATATATATATATTAGCTTTTAGGCTAAGAGACATCTTTGATACAGATTTGCGAAGGAGACGAGAAAAAATGAAAAAAAGAAAACTCGCCTATTTATGTCAGACTAGAATTGTTTAGTTAGTGCTTACGTTTAGATTGTATTAATTTGATTACTTTATGATGCCTATTTAGCAGGCAAACCAAATTCAATAGTTTAGGACTAAATAATCCCAGCGCGGAAGAGAAGTACAAATTTAATAGTTTTAATTAGGGACTTTTAAGATAAGGACTTAGAGGCCGTAAACAAATAAACTACTATGCCAAATGAAATCCTCGACGATTGAATGAAAACTAACTAAAATTAATAGCCAGAAACTAGGCCTTCGTTTGGATATCATGGTGTTTTTCTTGTTGTGTTTTTATATAAAAAAACACTATGATGCAGGTGTTTTTTCCTTAAAATGTTTTCAAATTACAATGTTAAGTATTTTTTGTCAACCATAGGTATTGACACATTATAACATAGTATTAACCATATTATTTGAATATTTATATATTATTATAATAAAATTATATATAAATAAATGTTATAACTATTTAGTTTACATTATTATAGCTTAATAAGCTATTAAATATTATAAAATATATATTATAATAATGTAACATAATATTAATTGACTTATAATGAGTTAATTATATTATAATTATTTACATATTATTTTAATAATTATATATTTAATTATTAGTATACCAATTTGTTATTGTTGCTATATTATATTAATATTTTTATAATAATATTATTTTATTATTAATATAATTATATTGTTATTAATATAATATAATATTATACTATTATTCATTTAATATAATATTATTAATAATGTTAATATTATTTCATTACTAGTATGTTATTAACATATTATAAATATTTTAATATTATATAATATATTATAGTTTTTAATATGTTAGAGTTTATTAATATTACTTTAATAATATATTAATATTTATCTATTAATAAATATTACTATTTATGAATATATTATTTTTACATTAACATTGTTAGCAATAATTATATTATTATTAAAATTTATTTTACTTTGATAAATTATATTATTTATTAAATAATATATTATATATTTTATATTATATATATTACTATACAATATGTTATTATAATATTATTACTATATTGTTATGTTATTATTAAATATGTTTACTATTATATAATACTTTATAATTATTAATTTATTACAATTATTTATTAAAAAGTTTAATAATATTATAACAATTATATTATTATATAGTATATTATTATATCATTATTATATCATTATTTATTCTCAAGAACTTTTTATTAGATTATTTATATTTTATTATTATTTATTTATTATATAATACATTATTGAACATATTAAATATTAGTATTTAATATACTATAGTATAGTATAATATAATAAGCATGTTGATAATAACTACATATTAATATATTATGTTAGATATTATATTAATACATTCTCAACTCAAAACCAAAACACCAAACTTATAACACCTAAAATGTGTTTTGAAATAAGTGTTTTGTTTTTTGTTTGAAGATGATTTAGCTTAAAAAAATACCATGGTTTCAAATGCACTTGTTTTTTTAGCAAAAACACAAAATGAAAACAAGTAAAACACATTGGTATCCAAACAAAGCCCTAAAAATTAATTACATGCGCGGAGTGTTTTTTTTTTCCTATTATTAATGATTTCATCTCTTTTACCTCTTACTTATCATCATCATCATCATCTGACTCTTACATTCATTTCATCATCTGATTTCTTTACTTTCTTTTACCCCCACTTCTGTTTTTTTTTTCAGCATTTTTATATGAGAAGGGATACTACGACGTGGCTTGCAAGTGAACGAGACAGACTACGAGCGATGCTGCAGCGGAGCCACCCTTGAAGAACGACAGCCAAAGGAAACAGCTTACTCCTTCCAGCTCAACCAACGGGCCCCTACTACTTTCATTGCTGCCAGCCGAGGCCAGTGCTGGAGCGGCATGAAGCTCTCCGTCACCGTCCTCCCCCGCCCCCTCCCCCTTCCCCTCACCGTCCTCCTCCACCTCCTCTCGTCGGCCGCCGCCTGCACCGGCCGCCGGGCCGGCTTCCGTGGTTACCTGCCAGTTTGTGCTGGTGCTTAGGTCTGTGCTTGGGTTGGTGGTGGTTACCTAGCTAGTTTGAGCTGCAGTCTTGTGAGCTTAGCAGCATGCAGCAGCAATTTGCTTGCTTTTCGGTCTCTTCTTAATAAATTAAGACCAAAAGGGCGCTTCGTGCTCGCCGTAGTTGCAAACTTGCAAGCACGATGTGTCCATCTAAAAGTGTTAAAATGCATGCAAGTTGGAGTTGGATTTGTTCGGTTCGTTTTTAAAATCTTGTGATTTTTATCCGTACTTTAATTGAGATATTGTACAAATTAAGAGCTAGATACCATTATCAAGAGAACACATTATCAAGTGAAATCGTAGGGTTGGGATCCTCTACTAATGAGGACCCTTCCTAAGATCTCCTCATGAGATCTTGGCCTTTGATTTATCAATCAAATGTCATGATCTCATCTTGAGGAAAAGTGAGGAGGAGGAAGAGAATGAGATATTGACCTTTGATTGATAAATCAAAGGCGAAGATCTTCTCATTAGGAGATCTTAGGAGGATCCTTATTAGTAGAGGATCACAATCGGTAAATGTGTAGCTGTGCAACGTTCTACTTGTAGGGGGGCACACGTCCAAGCCACAGCGGGAGTGCGGGAGTGCGAAAGGACTGAAGAGAAGGGTTAAGCCGGTCCGTTAGAATAAAGAAGGGCTAAATTAGTAAACTTTATATGTAAGATTTATTTTGGCCTCTATACTCTTCTTTAGTGTTGAAAACAAAGAGAATTAATATTATTTTCTTTATAGATAAAAGGGGTCATCTCTTAGCCTGTCTAATATAGTGCTCACGAACTCAAAAACAAAAACGAAAATTATAATCTCTAATAACAGGTCCAGGACATTAATACCCTCTCAGAGCATCTCAAACAATGGAGACACCATGAGGAGGAGAATCAATTTCATTCAATTGCAAGTCATGCAAAGTAAAAAATAAAAGACATGATAAGAAATAAAAGAGAATTCATCTCCTGTGCTGCCTGAAACAATCATTTTCAATCCTTGATGGTTCTCCATATTACTACTGAACAACATATCCTCCATTCTTCCTACTCATTTCACCCTCAAACGTCAACCCGTGAAAACTTGGAGAAACCACTGATTTTCCTGCTGCAATTTCTAAGGTGAGTTAATATGAAACGAATCAGGACCGAAGAATGAACCACAGAAGCACGATGAGAAGAAAGACACAACTTACAGTAAACCAGCCTCAAACACAGCGTCCAAAGCATCAACTTATGAACTAATCTTCTTCAAAGGATCCTAATTCTAATGGCACTAAGGTTATACAACAATAACATCTCATGGAAAACAAAGATTGGATATCAAAAGAAATACAATACTGGAGGGAGACGAACCTGATTTACACTGAAAGTAGTAACTCATAAAATCTATTTCATCTTGAAATATACTTCATTCTAACAGTCACATTAGTAAATGGAGCACATCTGTTATTTTAAGAGCTTTTACCTAATACAATAGAAAGGAACCCTAACCATGACTATGATCTAAACTTTGATGCTCTAAACAAAATAAGTATCTTTTTTGGTGTACCACCTAGAAGCTAATAAGAGAATCATTCTTCCCCATTCCCAAATGGGGTGGATCGGGATTAGTATACATAAAGCTACTGTTCAAACCATACATGAAATTTTTTACAAATACAATCAGAAAATGAAAAGGCCACAGCTATGAGTGAGGATGTGGAAAGAATAATGTCTGACGATGCAAAAGTTTTGCTGTTATAATTGTTCTTCCACATTACCTCCTTCACTCGAAAAAGAAAGAGGTGGGAAATCCTCGTCTTTCAACTCATAATTCCTCTGGCTTGTTGATCTGGAAAAATAATTAAAGTCCCCTGTTAAGATAATACATTAGAAGCATTACAAACAAATCCAATGGAGAGTATAGAATGACTATCAAACAAGCCGAAAATATAGAAAACCTATTCAACAAGATTTCCTAGGTTCAAATAAGGGGTTTTCACCATATTATAACAGCAAATTACAGTTGTTTCTGATACTAACAATAGCAACATAATACAATATGGGAAACAAAAGAGTGTTTGGGGCACTACCTTTGAATATGTGGCGAAGAGGGTTGATCTGGAGAAGATCGCGGAGAACTTCCTCGGTATGTGCCTTGCCTCTGCTCATGTACCCTCCTCCCCAAATTCCCGTCACCAGGTCGTGGAACTTCATTCACACCTGTGAGTTGCACCGGCCCGAATGAGCCAAACTCGAGCGATTCAGAAGATGATGACGCATAGCCAGCAGCTCCTTGATCATATGGATACAACATTACCACAGAAGGAATTCCAGGACCACTTGGACCAACACCATTTGAACTCGCGCTAGGCATTGAATACATACCATAGGGCATACTTCCTGAGCCATATGAGGAGTTTGATGTCCCAAAGGAACTATTCTGAACTGGGTGCGAGGAAAGAGTTTCATGCCTGTAGGAATCCAATGGTCTGTCAGGTCGCTTATCAGCAGAACCCAATCTGTCAAGTCGTGTGCTTGGCTTTTCAGCTTGATTTCGGCCATGGCTGCGACCCATAGCTCGAGCTTTTGCACTAATCCAGCTCCCTTCTCTATCACCATGGTCGTGCCGATCATAATTGTAGTTTCCTCTGTGATTTCTTGTGCTTGGAAATTGTCGATCCCTGAAAGGAACCTTCTGCAGGAAAGAAGACAAAGGAAATAGATTCAGTTTAGAGAATATAACTGACTACGAAAGTAATTCTGAGTCTCTGACAAACCACTCCTCTAAATATTTTGTCTTTCTATATTTTAAATTAGGATTATTAAAAGTAAGGCACCTAATGCTAGGACCCCGGATACTGAATCTAAATTCACATAGGTGGGAAAGTTTATCAACAGATTAACTTGATTGATAATGATGCACCCAATAATGCATCTGTTAACAGTGAGATGAAATCATAATATAACCACTGAGCAAGTAAACAAGGAGACAGTTATATATTACAGAAGAATTAGAACAAGGCAAGAAAATAATAGCAATAAGAAAATATAGAGCGAAGTTAATTGCCTGTCAAATAATATTGTAATTTCACAATAATAATAGTTCCATAAACTAGTTCTCCATTACTGAATTCACAGGTCTGTAAGAGCATGCAATCAAGACTGACTTCCACCACATATTTCAGAAATAAATTTCAAAGCAAACCATCTTACTGTTAATTGGTTATGGGCTAATAAATTATAGCATGCAAGCTAAACATTCTATACTTATATGAACCTCTAGACCCTTTGGAAATACCTACACTTGCATGAACCATTAGACCATGTGCAAATACCTACAGTGTAGAAATGACTCTCTGGAAAGGCATAACAAATAGAAGCAATAAACATTTTCTTCAAAAAGAAAATCAGATTGTTTGAATGCACGACCACTTGAAACTAGGCTATTTATTACCATGTAAAGAATAAATTTACCAACAACTTAAGCAAACAGGTTGTTGTGGGCCTTGTGGCTGAACATTTTTAAACATTCGTAACACCTAGCAAAATGTGAACAAGTAGAAATGGTACAGAATTGCAAAATGCCTACGCTTGAAATGATATAATAGCTGCTATAAAGAAATATGAAAGGATGACCACTATGGCCTTATCGAACTTAAGACTACTAAGCACTGTAATTTTGCATGCTGCTAACAAATGATAATGTCATCAAGCCAATGAATAGCATCATACTAATAGGAATAAAGAGTAGAAGCATGTCAGTCAGTCTAGGCTACTAGATCAAGTTTTAGATAATTTTGAGTATAAATGAGAATGACAGAAGTCATTGGGTAGACAAATTTTCCCATAGAGAACCCTGATATTGCTTAAGAGTCCAAACGTAAAAGCAGACAAAAACACCACGTATTTGCAGTGCACTTTGTCAAATGGTAAAAACAGTGAAAGTCGGTTGCAATTCGACTAAATGAAGCAAATAAAAAAAATAAAAGGAAATCGATATCTGATCACATCCCAATAAAGATCCTTACAGGATTTGGCAGGTAAGTTCCAGTGCCACCACGAAATCTGGGTGGTTCATCGCCATGACGCTGGAAAACGCCAGCAGGCCTGTTTGGACCTGACTGGAGAGGCGCAACAGGAACCAGGCGGGATCCATAATTCATTACTTGTGTGAAGAAGCTCAGGTTGGCTGAAACTGGTCTGCCAGGACCTTCCCATGGGACATGACCCTGCAAATATACCGGTGGAACCATAACAGGAGAATGGTAGCCAAATGGTCCATTATTACGGTTGGTTTGGCAAAGGCGCCCATATTGCAAATTTTGCCAGTGACTGGCAAAATCACTATGAAGAATGTCAGATTTTGGCTCCTCAGAGATATCAAGTGCCGTACTTTTTTGAGCAGTTACACTCATGTGAACTCCGGACTGATCAAGGTTTTCAGTTGAATCGCAGTTCTGATTGGATGCACTTACACGACTATCATCCACTCCTTCGTCCTTGTCAAAATGGCTTGAAGAACTATCACCATTTCCAGTGTCAGATTGAAAATTATACACATTAACCGGCAGCATAGTCAAAAACGGAACCGGAGGACCTGTAGGATAAAATGCAATGGGGACAACCCCAGAATTTTCTGCCCTCTGCCGAGAATTACCAACAATAATTGGTGCAATCGGGATCATAGAATCCGATCCACTTGTTTGTTCTGCATATTCATACCCAGGTGGCTGATAGCCTCTAGATGCGGATCCAGAACTTCTGTCAACCACATCAGTGCTCGCAGTTGAAAGAGAAACCCAATCCCTGCTATCCTCATCTTCCTGTGGAGAAACATGACCTGGAGTTCCTTCAAAATGCCAACCACTTTTTGCTCTCCCATATGCGTTAGTCACAACTGTGGAGGATGCTGGCTTTCTTCCCCATTTATCCCTAGCAGATTTAGGAACCCTTACTGATGATCCATCTCTCAAACTTTCACTTGATGATTTGCTTCGTGAAGAGCTAGCCTGTGACACTGGTAGAAACCTCAAATTTGCATTCCTGTCATTGGAGTTAATATCATTACTTCTACTGGTTTGATAAGGAGATGCTTCAGTGTGATTCTCTCTTACTTGTCCTCTATGTTCCGCAACTTTTTGTGGACTTCGTGTAACAGAAGCATTAGGACTACTGCCCCGAGATAAAGGGACAAAGTTACTGAACCCGCCCATTTTTAACTGATGTTTTTCATCAGAATGAAGCACCTGAACACCTACATTATCAGAATCAAAACCTCTGCTAGATCCAGAATCGTGTTCATGCCATGCACCATGGTCACTATCCTCTGGATTCAATTCAGACACACCAGAAGCCTCGTTGCCAGAATCAACAATTCCTTCAGGGTTTGGACTAAGACTACTGGCAGTAGGAAAATAAGGGGTCATTGTCGATGGAACAAAACCTTGAGGAAATTGCACACCTGATCCCCAGGATGGATCGACGAATGTAATATTACTGGGGAATCCTGCCAAATTTCTCTGGCCATAACCCATGGAAGCTAGAACAGGAGAGAGTGGAAGAGGAAGCTGGGGAGAACCCATATGCATAGGAAGTTGAACTTGTCCATTGAAAGTATGAAGTCTAGATGCCTTCATGTTGACTAAATCTTGTTCTTCCTGTTGCATATCTTGATGGAGCTCTAATGCCTCAGAGACAGAAGGAAGCTCTTCTCCCATGGTTGCAAAACCACTGTCATCATGATAACAGTTTGACACACTGCTTGTGTCAGTAGGGGCTTCTAAGCTTTGATTAGATGAGCTGTGCCTCAAAGATGACGGGTCGCCAATAGATGACCTTGTACCATGATTGCCAGAAGCTTCTGAAACCATATTCTTCCTTCTGCCACCATAATCTAATCTTGCATGTGAATATTGATCTTTCCCTGTTTCAAGAACTCTATTCTGTCTAGCTCGAGGCAATAAATCAGCAGATGTCTCAGTTAGCTCAGGACTAGATTGCGTTCTCGCAAAATGGAATTTGCCGAGCCCTTCCTGATCACTGACAGAATTATCAGGCTTTAAATTTCTCTGGCTCCGGTCAGGTTGAGTAGAACCACTAGAACTAATGCTTCTTTCTAACTGATCAGAATCCCTTGTGCTACTGTGATTGTCATAATTTCTCTGGCTGTGTGTACGAGAAACTATGGATGGATTGCTTGTCCTAAGTGCATGCTGGGAGTGCTGGGTGATGATGCTCATAACCTGAGGGATGGAACCTTGAAAAGCAAGATTACCTGCAGCCTGATACTCCTGATCAGGCCGTGGTACAACATTTTCACTCCTTTTTTTAGTACTTTCATCACCTTTTGAAGTATTGGATTCTTCAACCAGAGCAGTTTCTAAAGGTCGCAAATGCCACAAACTTGAGCTTGGTGCATCCGGCCGAAGGCCACTGCCATGTCTTTCCCATGTATTCATGAAAAACTGATTCACTTCAGCAATCAGACTCTCTTTTGGACATTCAAGCAGTCTGGCTAGCCTTTTGGCACCAAATGCAAAAGCACTGCGTATTCTAAAAAAGTTACCTGAAACACACATATGATGGAACTGTTATAAGGCTAAAGATATGATGTCTGAGAATGGATTAATTTTCCTTGCCAGCATGTTAAAAGTTATGATCTATCAGTAGATAGCAGTAACTAGGTCATAGATCCTCCCAAGTAAATCAGTTAATGAGATGTAAAATAAACGATTTAAAAGTATTAAAAGTGTGGAATAATTGTTCACATGCATGCAAGTGACTGCTCCATCTTATATAAGAATGCAAATAGAAGTGTAAATACGAGGTACTCCACTGAGTGGCACAAGAATGAAATCAAATGTGAAGAGTACCCTTCATCCACTTATCAACTTCGTCATAGTTGAACCCTATTTCCATCAAAATGGGTACAAGGAGAACTAGTGGAGAGAAGATCTCATAAAAGGATCAATAAATTTTACTACTGCACTTCAACATGATGTCAATCCACATAAACGGATTCAAGTAAGAATGCACCTATGCATTTTGCTCTGGTATATTTTTGGGAGCAAATGTTCTACATGTGCAAGGATATTGAATTCTAAAGCATGCCTAACAGTAAAACACGCTACAAAGTTGACAACCCTTATTTGGATAGAAAACATTGCTTCTGTAGTCCAAGGGAGAAAAAGGATTTTAGAATTTCCTCTCATCTGATAAGTCCAATGAAGTGAATCAAGTGACTAATAAAAGTCTAAGACCATTAACCCAACTTGTCTATTCTCGAAATGTCAAAGAGATCTAAATATTTGGATCAGAAATCTGAACCCATAAGCCAATGCACTAGCCCTTTTCACAATGAGTTTCTTATAGCTGACAATTAAAAAGTAAATGATTTATCCTCTAGAAAAAGTGAATGCACACAGTTGTGTCAATTTTGCACGAGGTTAAGGATGTGAACCCATTGCTTTAAATATCCCCAACATGGCCCAATACTATTGCCCAATATATCCTTTTATAGGGCTTGTCGCAACCGATATAGTCTCTAAATATCAATTACTGCTTTTTGGCTATTTTGGGTGATATATTCCCAGTATAGCCGATATGTCAACGATATAGCCTTATTTATGGCTTATCACAAAACAATATATAGCGTTTGGCAATTTTTGGGTGAGATAACATGATTTTCCCGTTATACCAAATGACATTTTGGCCTTATAAAAATCAGATGAAAGGTCGCAACATTGATTTGTACTTTTCTTTGTTTTACAATAGATTTTATTAAGTATGTTGAGATTACATTTTGGTGCATTATACTATATATTTAAACATCTGTTATGGCATTCCGATATTTACCACATATTCCGTTAATTCCCCGATATCCGCAATCCAATATGAATTTTGGTCATCCAATATTTCCCTGATATCCGTTATTTAAAACATCGTGTGAATCTTAATATTAAAACTTGCATGACAGCTAGTGGAATTTAGAATAGAACAAACCAGATTCCAGAAAAACTATTACTATATAATTACGTACTTGACAACTACAGACAAGCTTGGATAATGATTTAAATGAATAGAAGAGAATTCACATTTGGATCAGAAATCTGAACACACTAAGCCAACTAACTAACCCTTTTCATATTGAGTTTTTTGAGATGAAAATAAAAAAAATGATTTATCCTCTAAAAAATGGATGCACACAGTTCTGTACCATTTTTTGCAAGAGGTTAAGGACTTGAAACTTAATATTAAAACTTGATACCACTAGACACAAGTGTAATTTAGAATAGAACAAACCAGATTCCGGAAAAAAATTCACAATCTACATTACAGACTTCACAGTTGTAGACAAGTTTGGAACCTTTAGATAAGGATTTAAACGGATAGAAGAAATTTTCACAAATATAGCACCTTCGTTACATGAATATAATCGATATTTTACTTAATTGCATGTGTTGTTTATGTCCCTTCAGCGAAAGTTATTCTGTAATTTTAGCAGGTTCCCAAAATATAAGAGGAACTTCTTAGGCTCATTTTGAAGAGATGACGGATTTATTTTTAATACTGTTGAATCAAGTTTTCCATGCCAACAATATTATACAAGTATTATTAAATGATAAATAAATCCAAGACTCAAGCAAACAGAAATCTTTGATGTCAACTGAAAGCAAAAACCAAAAACTATCTTTTCAAAGTTATGGGCTATAAACAAGGTTTATCAAAATAATATCATATGCTGAATAGTAAAAGTAGACGATAAGGGTAACTTTCAGTATTTTCAGATCTCATTGCCCCCACTTGCTGCAGCAAAGTGTTCCTTTCAACTATCAACAAATTTAACACTCTGAATTAGCTGAACTATCCTTACAGAACATGAAAATTTTGACGGAAGTCATTTCATGCTGGAAAAGTGAAAGATTGAGAAAAGAATTTGTGAAATGATAAAAAAAAATCGCTCGCAACAGAGAACATGGGTACTGTTAAGCTTAATTCAGAACATTGCTAAACATAGAATAGAAGGATACAACACAAAACTGAATATTTGAATATTCAACAATAAAATGTGTCTTATGGTCAACACCAATCTTATAAAACAATCTTTTGAAAACATGGTGTTTCTCCCACAAAATATGCATCACCTGTGCACACACTAGCACACTATAATAGAAAAAGGTTAAAAGAAAAGGCGGGGGATTATCCTACTCTCAGATGTTATGAAATTAGCATACAGGCATACAGAATGTTTAAAATTTTCATTTTTATTCCGATAAGTAAGTCCTAGAATTGTTCCTCACTTATGAAAGAAGAATAACTAGCAACCATTACCCTGAATGCCACTAGAAAGAAGAAAATTATGCCTGATTTCCTCCAGAAAAAGGTCGCTAGTAAAATCAACTGCAACGAAATTCCATTTAACATTGCCCAGCAGAAAATTTTCAAACAGTTGTAGAAGTATAATATCATAACCCAATTAGTAAATAATAAGAAATATGAATCTCACACATGATTGTCCGTCTATGCTAAATAATATTTCAGGAAAAGTACCTTTACTGACGCTCCGGCCAAGGTTGTTATTTGTCCGTAAAGGGTCAATGACATTAAAATGCTTTGAAACAAAAGGTTGCCCCTGGTTCTCTTGACCACCTGGAAAAACTGCATATACTGCACTGCAGGCATCCAGAAAGAGCTTACTCAGCAACAATTCACCCCTATCCTTTCTGGGAGGTTCCGCTGTAAAAATTTTCAAGAGAAAAAAAATGTAAGGACACATAAGTTTGCTCAGGTAATAAAAATAAACAATGATAATAGGCTTGCCTGTCATCTCTGGGAGCGAACTAATAGGGACTGGACCCCAGAGACTAACGCAAAAGTTGTCCCAATCAAAGTTGCTGAAAAATTCTAGAAAACGATATAAGACCTGAAACAGCACAATGATTAACATTATTACTTGTAAACTTATGGTGAGGAAGAAAGAATATATGAGAGAAATTACCTCAAGTGGTCCAGCAAAAGAATTGTTAAATACATGAAATATATAAAGAACCAATGTCTCCAAAGCATATGTAGATATAAGCCCGTGATGAGCACCTAGAATACGACTCTCATAGTAACACCAAGCCTTGATTAGTATAATACTCCGCTTGAACAGGTGGTTTTGATTTATTAAGTGGTCAATCTGCATAAAGGATCCTTTGTCAAAAAGACTACAAAAAATATAGGCATTGCTCACATAATTTCATGAGATGTTTTAAACAACCAACCACTTACCTCTTCCAGAAAACAAAGCGTACATAATCCACCAACTTGATTGAAAGAAATATCCACAACAATGTTTTCTACAAGACATTTTATTATCTTTACCTGCAAAGGCAAATAAAAATGATAGGATCAGTAATCAAAATACTCAAGAGTATTACAGATACTCATATTGTCCTCCACATGAAATGAGCCATGAACTGAAAATTGGAGTCTCCTAAGAAGCAAGTTTCAGAGAATCTGCATGCATTAAGATCTACAGAAACAAACAAAAAAAATCAATTTTAAAGGAAGAGACCCAGATTATACATGACATGACGAAACGCAAAAAAAAAGGCTTATCATATGTGACTCGCGTTAACAGGAGTATAGACATTTTAACAGCAGTCTGTACCAAGCCTTTCACACAGAAAACATTGGTGGAAACAAGAGTATAATGATGAAACTCAGGGTTTATACTCGAAAAAGAAAAAGGTAGAATCAACCTTAATTCACAGAAAATGGAGCCTTTTTAAATACATCTACAACCTAGTATATGCTTCAATTCAAAGACCAAAGACTGCTGTTCCTATTAATTACGTGATCTAGATCTCTAATCTCCGAAAGCTACTTGACTGCAGACCAGCACATCACAGTAAAAAGTGCTTAAAATGACAGCATTTTACCTACTCAACATTTATACTATCAAGAGGAGGTTGGGGCAACTGGAGGTGGTGGTGGCGGCAGCGTAGAGGTGGGTTTGTTCAGTGGTTGGGGGATGTGGGCATAGAGTTGTTTCATTAAAAGAGTTGAGAGAGATAAACATACTAGCAATACCCATTGGGTAAATCATGTAAAAATAAAAATAAAGCTCGATTAAAGACATGGTAATAACAACTCAGCTATCGCCATCTTTTCCCTACCAAATTAAAGGTGGGCTACAGAGCACAGGTCTTAATGAAAAAATTATCATCACTATCAACATGATTCTGGCCTCTACAAAACTGACAAAATTCCTGTCGAAAGAAGTGATGAATGAAAGAGAGGCTTCCCAAAGATCCCAAAATTCCAGTTGACAAGTACGAAACCAACCTTATTTGGGAATCATATATGACAATTGCAAAAGGAGTATTGGATTTTTTTTATTGTTTTCGTTCTTTTACCTATTGGTTATCATTATTTGATTGATATCCTAAAGATTCATTAAAATAAGGGGTTTTTGTCTTTTAACCCAAAGTTTTACCCCTACTTATTTAAAAAAACCACTCACTTCCATGACCAACCTGTAGTATACCATCAAGCTTTATATTGGATCTCCCATAACAAATCCAAGATTTCTATTTCCTCTCTTCTTCTAAACAGCGATCACGCTCAATGGTGATGCAGGGAGAAATTTATTTTTGCGTGTTGCTCCCCTCACTCCCCAAAACCCAATTTAGTATATTTATCTTCTTCAAAATCTCTCTTTCCTCCATTAATTTCCTCTCTTCCTAATAAAACTCTCCTCCACTGACATTTCTCCTCATAAAAGCAATAATTTTATTTTAATATGATTTTTGTTTACAATGACTAAATATTTCTTTTTCTGTAGTCCCAGAATCAATAAAGAGCTATATTATAGCGATGAAGAGATATACTTTAGTCGTAAAGAGTTATACTTCTGCATATAATGCTACACTTTACTCATAAGAAGCTATGTTTTCGAATATAATGTTATACTTTGCTCAGTAAAAAATTACTAGCTATTAAGCTTTCATATTTTTATCTTAATTAGAAAAATGATACTAAATCTTCTTCTATTTTCTCCATCAACTTTCTTGATGACATATTACACACTATTAATTTTTTCCATGTAGTCTAAGAACCAATAAAGAGCTATATTATAATAATAAATATTACAATAAAGAGTTATAAGTTAGTCATAAAGAGTGATAATTCTTTACAATGTGTTATACTTTGCTCATAAAAAGCTATGTTTCCATCTAAAGTGCTATATTGTACTCAACTTCAGTGAATTTTATGGATTAACTTCACTAGAATTTAGGGATCGATTCATAGGGTTCAGTGTGTTGTGAAATGAAGGAAAAGAGAAAGAGAGAAGTGTTGAGTTTATCTGAGGAAGAAGGGCAATTTTAAGATTTGAATTTTTTATTGGAAAATACAGTATGAAGTTTGAGAGTATACTATAGCTTAGGGTTATAAATAAGTCATGGGGGTTACTTTGGGTGTATGGGTGTTTATGGAAGTGAGTGGGTTTTTAAAATAAGTGGGGTAAAACTTTGGGTTAAAGACAAAAACCCCTTAAAATAATCACTTTTTTTCAAATGTCTCATTACTCTCTTTCATCATCACAAGATAAGAAGAGAAAAGAAAATCCTTGCAATGATTCAAATCATATATAACAGTGAATGAGAAACAATTTTTCTTGCCAAATTTCTATTTTTTGAGTTCCAAAAAGTCAGAAAGAAGCTAGCAATTTGAGGTATCAAATTGTCAAATTAACACCGCTTTAAAGGGTATCAAAATAAAATGTCAGGGTATCAAAAGTTAAAAAGGGTGAAACTTTGGGATATTAAAGTGCAGACAAGCTTATAAAATTCTGAGATAAAGGCCCTTTTGTCATTTTTCAAACATCCACATCCAAATGAGCTTGAAATTTAAATGTGCTCCCCAAAGTAACACACAGTTAACTATCTAAGAAGGGATTAACAGCGTAACTGAAACATGCATATGTTTGGGAAGCATACAAGAATCCTAGAGAGCAGTGAAGTATGATTAAAAAGAATAACAACAGTTTTTGTCATGGATGATTAATAAGATAGATTAACAATCATACAATTCAGATAATATACGCACCCAGACAGAAAGAAAATACAAACGAAAAAAGATTTTACCTCAGCCTGAATGTACTGAACTTCTTTCACTCGAAATTCAGCATTCTCACTTCTTTCTTCATTCTCTAGTACATCCCGTACGTCATTGGCCCAAGTGTCCTTCAAGTTTTCATTATCACTGAATGCAGTTAAATCAATATCTCCATCAGGTAAATATGTCTTTAGCGGTACAGAACCAAATGTGAAAACCTGAAACACACAACAGAAGCTAATGATCAAAATATTGACGCATTTTATACAAAAATGTTTTATGATGAAACTAGTGAAACTAAAAATGAACCTACATCTTGCATAACATAAAACTGAAAGAGCTTACTATGTGGGGCTCATGTAACAAAACTAGTACCAAGAAGCAAATAATGAAACATGTGTTTCCCTATATATGAGGGTAAGACTACTTAAATAATAAAATCAATGTCTTCAGCATTTATAAGATGGTTGTGGTCTCCATAACAGTTGACAATAAGAGATTAGAAAACTACCAGGTATTATCTTTCTACCTCTAATTTCAATGATCATTATCCATATTTGCTTCAAACTTTTTCAATACAAAGATCTAGTCCCGCTAATTCTCTAAACCCAACATCATTTAAACTCGGGCAAGCCATTCATGGGGAACAAATAATGAATTTCATTTCAGCTTGCCAGAGGTACACCTAAACATCAGGACCACAAACCAGTTACTAGTAATGTACTTCATAGGTTCATATCTGATGTGTGTACGTGTATATATATCAACCTCTTTAGCATGAGCATGCACATCTGCACATCACAGAAGGCATTAAACCATGGTGAATATCAGCTAGCATAATCAATGACAATATTTCACTTAAATTCAGTAGTACAGGTGACATGTAACTACTTCTATTATTCACTTTCAAGAGAGGACATTCTAGTAGCTCCTTTCCATAAAGTATCTGATATCTAGCGAACCTCTTTAATATAAGCCTGGACATCTGTATATCATAGAAGGCATTAAAACATAGCTTATATCAGTTAATATAATTAATATCACAAGTTTTACATGATTCAGTCGCATATAATGAAATGTAGTCGTTTCTACTAATACTTTCAAGAAGAGGAAACTTTAGTAACTTTCTTCCTGTAGTAGATACAAAATTTGACACCAAATGTTTTTCTCATTTAAGTAGCTTCCATTCCAGATTGCAACTTATCTCCAATTTTACTTTTAATAGTTTATAATTCACTTTTCAGAGAAACAAGAAAGATGTTTAATTTTATCTTGAGCTAAGGATCCACAAGGACATGTGCATGATACAATAATATCATTTCAAACTTCAAACATTAACTATTGTAACCATATATATTCTCGAATAATGTCTTAGAACCCAAAAGATTCAGCCTACAAAATGTAACCATGAGGTTGAAGCTGAACCAAATATAATTTTAGCTGGAGGAGCATAACTACCATTCCACATCCAACCAATGGTGATAATTAGCTCATCTCTAACCCTCCAAATGGCAGTTCTTGGGCATATCACACAAGTAGGCAAATAAATGGTTAATACTAAATATTTGTTAAAACAAATAATAGTACTTATTGGTAGGATTAAGTAATAAATAGCTCTTAACATATATTGTAATCCACACAAGTAAATTTCATTCTCCAAATAACACAATAATTATTTGACTCCGCCAAAATTATGAAGATAATGCTTTTCTTCATTGGTTTCCTCAGCTTCACTGATTTTGAATGTTCCAACCATTTAAATCTTCTGTCAAAACAACCATATCCATCTCCAGGAAAAGCTAAGATGCAGAGGATATCATCATGCTTTGAAATGTGATACCAAACATACATCTAAAGAAGCATTAAGCCAGCCAGGTGCACAAGAACTATTCTAGGAATACTTCAAAACATTGTTGACTAGGTCAAGGAGAATCAACTTCTTTTCAATAAACAAATATATGACTATGTGTAGCTGTTCTTCCCCCAAACGATCCTATGACAGAATTACCTCTCTATATTGCCCATTAGACTGAAGTTACTTTAAACAAAGTTCTGATCACAAGAAAAATCATTTCTTCTCTGAGCATGTATAGGGCTGAGGTACAACTGATTATGGACACACGTGGCAATGCCGAAAACCTAAAACGAAACAATAACTAAAAAGAACTATAGTAAAAAATTAATGCTAAGAAGCTTAATATCTGAAAGAACAAAGCTATACGTTTACCATTATCTCAACTGCATTAAATCAGTCAAACTATTATCCTTAACAGCAACAACTATACTAAAAATAATAATAATAATTCAGGGAAAAAAATACAAAGGGTGGTCGAAATCAGACCGAACCTGACAAGAGAAGCATTTGGTGATGAGCCTTTGAACATAGTTTGCCACCGCATTCCTCCGCTCCTCCGAAGGCTGGTTGGGCTGAATGCAAGCAATCAATTCGGCCGTCCTCTCTTCGGCCATGGTCCATCTCTCAGCATCGAGGACACGCGTCACACTGCCAACTTCACTGGGCAAAAGGCCATTGGGCATTAGGCCACTTGGCTGAGCCCAACCCTCATGATCGCCCATAAAAGCCTACTAATGGAGCCAATAAAAACTTAGCTAACCCCGTGACCCCCAAATCCAATTACCAGTCGCAAAATCTATCAAAGATGACGACAAATTTACAATTTTTCCAACGTTTTCAGCCTTCAGATGAAAGGCTATCTGAAGGCTAAGCTTAGTATCGTGACTAATCCTTCTACCCAAATCCCGAATCTTACCAATTGCAGACGGAGACAAACCCTAGGTGTCAATCCCTCCAATGCCCGCACGATCTACGAGCAGAAACCTTAGGATAAAGCAAGGAAACAAAACCCTAAACAAATGGATGGCTTCAAAGAGAATCGATGGAGATTAACTTGAGATCTCGAGAGTAGCGATTATAAATCGATTGAGAAAAGGCGATTCGAAGAGAATCGATGGAGATTATGAGCGAAGAGAATGAGAGAGAGAGAGAGAAAGGGGGGGAAACCTAGAGAAATGGAAAATGGGAGGAGAGAGAGGAAACAGGAGGAATTGGGGATTTCACAGTGTTAGGTTTTGTAACGTATGATGAAAATGACGATGATGATGATGATGGTTGTGATCAGACATCAGGGATCATGGCCATTGGTTTTTACTGAAACCAATTATGCAAATTCGCCTTTTTTTGGGATAGAGTTGGTTATTTTAACCATATTATTATTGCTCATTACGTTCAGTTATTATAGTAGAACTTTCAAAAAAAAATGTATGCATATTTTAAAGATGGGAAAATTACTCTAGGCCCCAAAATCTAACTTTCAATGTGCCCCAATCTCTCCAACTTTCAACAATGTGTTGCAGCCTTTTTTTTAAAAAAAAATTTATGTCCAGGCCCCTCTCCCCAAGTTCCAATGCAACATCTTCAAAAATCCCGATTTTACCCTCCCCTACACCCCCCTCCTCCTCCTCTGCTCCCCCTCCGCCAGCGCCTTCCCAAGCGTCGCCGCCTCCCTCCCCTCCCTCGCCTCCCTCCCCCGCTGCACCTCCCCCTACACCTCCCTCCTCCTCTGGTCCCCCTCCGCCCCCTCCACCGTTCCGTCGCTGGCGTCGTCCCGAGGAACTTCGCTTGACCGGAAGCGATCATGGTTATGATGTTAACATGTTAACTCTTACGGTTAACATGTTAACTCTTACGGTTAACATGTTAACTATTAATAGTTAACATGTTAACCGTAAGAGTTAACATGTTAACCGTAAGAGTTAACATGTTAACCGTAAGAGTTAACATTCGCATAGTATGGGATTTTTTTTATAGATATTGGAATCATACTGCAATTTACACCTTATTTTTATTTGATCATTTTTCTCTATCTCAATAAGTGATGCATCACCAATTTTTATTTCGTTCATAATGGGTTTTTCTCATAGAAAATACCAACGTGGGTATTTTCATTCATTCATCGAATCTTTAAAAATAAGATCAGCAATAATATTCAAATGTCTGACCCTAGCTAGTCTAAGAGAGACATTATTACAATTTTTGAGAATATATAAAAAAACTGACAAAAAGATACCAAACATCGCCATACGATTATGAATAAGTAATTGATAGTCTTATCAATCCTTCTTGGTTTTATTAGCATATATGTGTATAGTATTTTTAATAAAAAGGATTGCAGATAAGTCGTTTTAAATATGGTTGGTTAGAACAAATTTGATACTAATTACTTTTGTTTTTCACTTATTTTCTCATAGTAATAAATATCCTCTCGAGATTTTAGAAATGGCACATATCCTCCCGAAAGTTTCTCAATATATCCCCCATTAATTTTAGTAGATGTACTTATTCCTCTTAAGAATTTTATTTTACATTATACAGAAACTACCATGGGATGCTACTCATGATAAAAATGCCCTTGAATGCTCTATCTCTCATTTTGAAAGTGGAGAAGGAGGAGGAAGAAGGACTTACATAAATAAGAAGAGCGAGAAGATGAAATGTTGAAAAGAAGCAGGGAGATGAGAGGTTGAAGATGAGAGTATTTCGAGGAGAAAACACGGGCACAGTGGCTAAAGAGCATTATGGGGGCTGAACGCAAGAAAACTTTAGTCAATGAGATTCTTCACCCATTACTTTTTTCTAAGGGGAAGGAAAAACAAAAAACTTGAGTCAAGAGGGCTTGAGGCAGTTTCCCTTTATGTTATCATAACTGACATACCATATTGGTATTCTTACTTGACCTTATTTTCTAATATGGTATTTATTTCTACTCTGGCATCAGTATGACATTTTAACTTGTGTCTTGATGATAGTAAAATTATTTTTTCTCGCTAGAGGAATTTTTTTTTTTAATTTCTTCCACCACCTGACCTATCAAAAATTTTAAATCTATATTCTTCTTCTTCTTCTTCTTTTTGACCTCCCCCAGTTCAAATTTCTTCCATCCACTTACTCAATAAAAATACTCCATTGAGCCCCCACTTTCTCCTTCAACTTTCCCCAATTCAAATCTAAATCATAATGTCATCCTAACAACTTTCATCCAATTCAATACCATTTTGGATTAGGGTAGGTTTGCATTGAGAGGGTTTAAAGGAGAAAGAGGAGACTCTATTAATGAGAGAGAAAGAAAGAGTAAAAGAGGATCTTATTGGGTAAAATGATAGAAATTTTTGAATTGAGAGAGATTGAAGGAGAAGAGGTTGTTGTTTTAATAATTTTGATAGCTCAGGGGGTGGAAGAAATTTTTCCAAAAAAAAACGCCAGAAAAGGGTCTTATTTTATTTGGGGCACCAGTTAAAATACTATAGTGATGCTGAAGTATAAATAAATATCATATTAGAAATTAAGGTCAAGTTAGAACATCAATCTGGTAATTTAGCTACAATACAACTATATAGAGTAAATTTCACAAAGCTCCTTAAGTTTGAGCATATCTCAGATACTTCTTTAATTTTCAAAATTCACAAACCTCCTCAAGTTTTGGATTATCGAAAAACCCCTTCAACTTTAAATATTTTTTAAGAAACCCCTCCTAACCACATTAGTTCAGGGAATTTTACAACAAAACTTAAAAGATGATTCATGACATTTTAAAAAGTTAAGAGATAATATAAGATACACTCACACTTAAGAGGGCTTCACAAGACCCCCTTAAGTTAAGATGAAAACTATAAATAATACCATTAGGTTGGGGTTTTTTTTTTTTTTGATAAAGCTTGAGAGGGCTTTGCGACATTTGGAAAGTTCAGGTTGAATTATCTACGAAATGGCCAACTTGAGGAGAAGGGTGATGCGTGTGTGTTTGCGTGGTGGGGCTGGGGTTGGGGCATGCACTACAAAGGATAAGTTGTTACCATTAGCAAAGAATCTTTAGATTCTAATTTCTAGAGGTTGTAATGTCACTAAAGTATGTATCTCTAAATAGTCATGAGATTTTAAAGCTCCTACTTAGTTTTGTCAGAAACAAGTTTGTTAAACAAAGAACGATTATTTTAGGGGGGATTTGGACACAATAGTGATTATTTTATGATGATTTTCTTAGAAAACAATGCTCTATGGTATTATTCTCCAAAAAAAATTTCAAAACACCATGACGAGTTCATCTTGTCAAAGCTAGGTTGACGGTTGACTCTTTCCATATATATATTATAATATTACTTTGTATTTCTATATAATATATTATTTAAAATAGTGTATATATAGTATATTAAAAACATGGATAATATGTTATATTAATTATTATATTATAAATTCATTATGATACATTATGTATGTTACATTGTTTTATTAATACAAAAAATATTATGTTATGTTATAAAATATTAATATATTACATTATATAATCATACATTTTATTATGATATAATATAATTTATTAAAATATAATCTTGAAATTAATTTTAGAATATTATATTATTATAATATAATATTCTAAAATATAACATATTATATTAGAATAAATATATTATATTACTTATTAAATAAATAGCAATATAATTACTAGTTTTATAGCAGTAAATTATAATATAATATATTATTTTAAAATATGTTATTTAAGTTATCACATATATATTTTAAAATAGTGTATATAGAGTATATTTAAATGCGATAATATGTTTATATTTAATTATTATATTATAAATTCATTATGATACATATGTATGTTACATTGTTTTATTAATATACACAAAATATTATGTTTATGTTATGTTATAAAATATTAATATGTTACATTTATAATAATCAAACATTTTATTATGATATAATATAATTTATTAAAATATACTAATTGAAATTAATTTTAGAATATTATATTATTATAATATAATATTCTAAAATATTAACATATTATATTAGAATAATTATATATATTATCTGTATTACATAATACAATATAATACTAGTTTTATAGCAGTAATTATAATATATATATTTATTTTAAATATGTTTATATTAAATTATCAGCAATATTATTTTATCTTCATATATTTCATAAGATTTTTTTCTTGAAATTAAAAAAGTAAGATAATATATATAACATTGTAATACATATATATTACTATATATAATTAATAAATTATAATTATAATATATATAGGGAACTAAATATAATAAATTTAAATTATTTATATTACATTGTCATATAGATATATAATATATATTTATTGCAATAAATTATATTATATTATATTATATTTAAAGTAAATTAAATTATATTATATTTATAAGTATACTATAATCAGATGGTAAAATAATTATCAATAGTATATTCATATTATATTAATTAATTATATTATATATAATCAAATATATGATAATAATTTGTAATAATTAATATAATATAATATACCACATTATATTATGCATATAACAACATATTATATTATATATTGCAATAATGTAATATAATAATTTATATGATTATATATTACTATAGATATTATAATATAATATAAAATAATTTTTAATGTAATGTGATGTGCTTATTAATTATAGAATAATATGTTGTAACACTATATTACTAGTATTTTACGCATGATAAGCACGGGCAAGTGTTACTCTATGAATTATTGTAACTTTCACTTGTAATCATAAACTAATGTATATTATATTGTTTTATTAGTACACAAGATATTATGTTATACTATAAAATATTAATATATTATATTATAAAATCATTCATTTTATATAATATAATATAATTTATCAAATTATAATAATTGAAATTGATATAACATACTATAGAATATTGTATTGTTATAATATAATGTTCTAAAATATAACTTATTATATTAAAATAAATATATTATAGTACTTGTTACATTAAATACAATATAATATTAAATAGTATTTTTACTAGTTTTATCGTAAGAAATTATAATATAATATATTATTTTAAATATGTTATATTAATTATCACAATATATTTTTATTTTCATATATTCCATAAGGTATTTTTCTTGAAATATAAAAAAGTAATAATACTACTATAATAATTTAATAAATTATATATATTGTTAAATAAAATAAAATATAGTAAATTATTATATATATAATTTAATAAATTATATA